CTGGGATTGCAAGTGTGAGCCACAGTGTTTGGCCTCAAAATAACACCCTTGATTTTCAGTTTTACATGTCATAATAGGCAGAATAATGAGCCCCAAATATTTCTACATCCTAATCACTGGAACCTGTGAATATGCTATGTCCCGTGATAAGTGGGAATTAAGTTAGCAGGTAGAATTGCAGTTGCTAATCAGATGGCCCTAAAGAGATTATCTTAAATTATCCAGGTGTGCCTCGTGTAATCACAAGGTTCTCTTAAATGCGGAAGGGGCAGGCAGAGAAATCAGTGTCAAAGTGATATGCTATGAGAAAGACTCACCTGGTTGTTGCTGGCTTTAAAACTGGAGGAAGGGGGCCATGAGCTAAGGGATGGGGGCAGCCTTTAGAAGCTGAAAAAGGCAAGGAAAGAATTTTCCTTACAACTTTCAGAAAAGACCACAGCCCTGCAGCACATCTTGGTTGAAGGTTTGTACTTGTGACCTCTAGAATTATAAAATACTAAATTTGTGTTGATGAAACTACTTAATTTGTGGTAATTTGTTTCAAAGTCAAAGGAAAGTGAAATAGTTATTATTAGTGGACTTCATACTTTAAGATATAAGGATTTAATTTTATTTCGTTTCCTCTTCTCAATTTTTCTATTAGAGTTATGTCATTGATCACATCTAAATTCAGTGTTTACATTTTTAGGGCCATTTTATACATTTTGAAGCTGAACAGTATAATGTCTTGGTAATTGCCCCAGTTTCTTCATTTGCTTTCTTTGACCTATCTGTATTAATTCTATTCATTTGTGTAAGAAATATGAGTATCAATACCTTGTAATATTTACTTTGTTTTTGAAATATTTATCACCAAGATACTTATTATCCAATGTCTCTGCCTAAAATATCACTCTTCTCTCAAGCCCTTCCAACACATTGAATGAGCTATGAATTTTATTTATTGATATTTCCTTTGAGGTGTCTTTTTCTTTTTAAATTATATTAAATTATATTACATTTTAAGCTCCAGGATACATATGCAGGATGTGCAGATTTGTTACATAGGTAAACGTGCCATGGTGGTTTGCCACACCTATCAACACATCACCTAGGTGTTAAGCTCCACATGCATTAGCTATTTGTCCTGATACTCCCCCTCCCCCCACCCCCCAGCAGGCCCCAGTGTGTGCTGTTCCCCTCCCTGTGTTCACATGTTCTCATTGTTCCAATCCCACTTATAAGTGAGATCATGCGGTGTTTGGTTTCCTGTTCCTGTGTTAGTTTGCTAGGGAAAATGGCTTTCAGCTTCACCCATGCCCTGGCAAAGGACATGATCTTGTTCCTTTTTACGGCTGCATAGTGTTCCATGATGTATACATATGAGGTGTCTTTTTCTAAAAGTTTTGTTTTCTGTTCCAATCTGGACCATATGCTCTCTGGGTCTGAACTCATCCTGAAATATTCTTTCACCATCATCCTGAGAAATCCTATCACTTCCCTCTTTTGGATCTCCTATTATTTGAATCCATAAATGAGAAATAACTTTTTGAGATGTAAAGTGCATGAAATGTCTTTGTATCACCCTTATGTTTGACATATATTTGGCTCGCTAAAGAAATCTATATTGGAAACATATTTTTTCTATAATTTTGAATGCACTACTCTGGTATCAACTATATTCAGTGTTGAAAAGTCCAATACTATCTGAATCTCAATCTCTTTTATGTGTCCTGTTTTTTTTTTTTTTTTTTCCTTTGGAAATTTTGGTGCTACTTTATCACTGGTATTTCAAGCCATGGGAATATTTTTTATGGAATTATTATTATTATTACTGTTATTTTGGTCCTGAAGACATATCCTTCAGTTTGGGGAAATTTTCTTTCATGATTTCTTTAATAATATCCTTGCCTGTATTTTCTCTGTTCTGTCAGATTTTAGTCTGATGTGGAAAGTCCTCCAGTAATCTAATTTTAAAATGTTTTCTCTCCTATTTTCGTTTTTTTTGTCTTTTGCTTTGTTGTCCTAGAGATCTCAATTTTATCTTTCAACCCTTCCATTGCATTTTTAATTTTTCAATTCCTTTTATTTTTCTGAAGTTTAATTTTAATCATAACCCATTTGTATGTTTTTTTAAAAGACCTTTATTAAGCTATAATTTATGTGCTGTAAAATTCACCTGTTTTCTTATACAGCTGCAATTTGTCTCTGTTTCTCTGAGGGTATTAATTACGGGCATTTGAAGTTTCCTCCTGTTTTGTTTTCATTATTTTTGCTTCTCTCTGAGTTTCTTTTTTGTGTATTTGCTTTCTTCGTTTTATTTTTTGTTTTTTAGAAGGGGATTTTTCTCAAATCCTTGGGGATTCTTGGTAATTTCTAAGTGTGAAAACCTAAAAAACTGGAAGCTGTAGTTCTTAAACAAAACTTGTCTAGACTTGGGTTTTTCTCAGGGTGATTAATAGAGAGTTCTCTGTTTTGTTGGGGCACCCTGACTCTCCATATCTCTGTATTTTCTCTTGAGCTACCACTTTTGCAAGAGAACTTTCTCATCTCCTAATTGGGCAGGGAATGGAAGTAAATAAATCCATCTGCCAGTTCTAGAAGTCAACTTGGGGATGGAGACTAATGATGCATTGATGCACCAGTTTTCTTTCATCTCATTCTCTTGTTTTCAGTACATGTTCCTCTTCTCATCAATGTCTAGATCTCCGAGTCCAGAATTATTTGCTCCAACCGTCAGCCCTCTAGCAGCATGAATCAGGGAAGTCACCTGACTATATAGATACATGTGGGATTTAGGAGCGCACTGTTTCTTACATAGACTTTCAAATAATTCCCTTTCCAGTTTCATCTTTACTCCCACCTTCAGAAATACCAGATCTATCCAACTCCTGAATCTTTCTGGAGTTATGTACTTAGAATAATACTGCTTTTCAGCATATCTCTTCTCTCTGCTCCTCAGTCATAAGCTTTTAGCTTGCTTTGATTTGTTGCATTTATCTGTCTTCTTTGCTTTTAGCCCTTACATAAGGATATAGAACACGCATATAGAAAGGAGCATAAAGTATACATGTGTAGCGTAACAAATGTTAAAGTGACAGCAGTTTAACCACCATCTGAGTCAATAAATAATACATTACTGCCTCTAAAAAAGTCCTTGTATGTATTCCATTGTGATTTTATTACCCTCTCCCTTGAAAGCAACCACTGTCCTGATGCTTTTGTGAACACCTTTTTTACTTTCATTTGTATTTTTTACCACCTATGAATGCCTCTCTAAGCAATATATTTTAGTTTTGCCTCCGTTTTGAGCTTGACATCAGTGGAAATAGATTATACATAATCATTTGGGTCTTACTTCTTTGCTGAATATTATGATCATTGGGTTCATTTGTGCTGTTGTGAGTAGCTGTGATCCATTTCATCCATTTCATTGCTGTGAGAGTGTGCCATAGCTTGATTAGATCACAATTTAAAAAGATTCTGTTACTGCTGGGTGTTTTAGATTTTTCCTTTGGCTTTATAGCTTTTAGAATTATCTTCTCTTTTTGCTAGTGCCTTCTCTCATCCTCTTTGGGTATGCATCTTAAATAAAGTTCATATTTTTTTCTTTCGAATATTTTGTACTTTTTAAGTAGGGGGGCACTGGGAGATAAACCCTATGTTTAAATGAAGCCAGGATTATTATGTTAAGATATTACATGGCATCGAAGTTATGGAAATTATGCTAAATACATTTTTGTGCACTTGAGTTTTCTGGTTCCTTTTGCTGTCATGAACTGAGACTGGGGACCTCAGGACAATGTTGAAGTTAAGTTTTATAAAATCTAAAAGTACGATTTGGTTAAGAAAGAGATCTTAGTGCGTTTGTTGTAGGAATTCCACTTTGCAAAGAGAATGGAAGTAGCCGCCTCCATAAAGAGGCAACCGCAAACTAATGCTTGCCTTTGAATTTGTGATATCCCCTAATTCTCCAGGATCTTCCTTTTTACATTAATATTCCCTTAAAAACATTACCGGGAATGATCCTCTGTGCATGAAGAAATACACACTCTGCAATGATAAGTGCAAACAAAGCTGAACATTTTATTTCTCCCTTTTTGCTATTCTCTGACCTGCAGTGCATTCCAACATTTTCTGCTTTCAGTGAACACGCAGTTCTTTGTTATTTTGATCACTGGATCTCAATAGAGCAGCACATAGCAATGGCCAATGGATATTCTGGCCTGAATATTAATGATATGTGAGTGCAGACCGAGATATAATAATGCTAAAAATTGTAGATGATGGTTTATTATTTCTAGACAGTAGCACACAGCTAAAGGGAGAGTATAGGTAATGAAATACAGGTAATATAAACACACACTACTCTTTTGTGGCCAAGTATAATTATATCACATATATCATAAATTCAAAGTTTTATTTTCAAAAGAGCAACCTAATTATTTTCAAAGCTTTTTGTAAAAAACCCCATTCACGACCTTGATGATTACACAGACTAAGAAAGCTATGTTTAAAAGAGTGTTTTTCTGTGTAAGAAATATTTTTTAGTGGTTGATTAAAATCACTGTGAAACATTTTTTCCCTTTCAGGTTAAATAGTATGACGATAAATATACCTGCTCTGATCATAAGCACCAGTGTTTAATTGAAGAATCAGTTTAAACTGCAGAAAACATGGTAGCTATTATTCATAGGATTCAATATTTTTTTGGATTAAAAAGTAACAAACAAATAAAGAAAAAAGCAGATAACTTAACGAAGGGGAAATCTTATAAAGTAGAAACTTTACCTGTGATATAGTGGTGTTGCAGGACCATTTTGATGGTGTCTCCTACTGTCTGATCTGGAAACAAAGACATTGTCCTGTTATATTTTATTTACAGAAAAATAGGGTTACATGGAATCGTGTTACTTGTATAAGAAAGGCAGTCATCATCTTTCTTTTATTGGATAAATATTTTTCAGGATTTGGGGATGATTTTTCTAAAGCAGAAACCTTTTCCTTTTGGAATATTTCAGATAATTTCAATAGGATCTCAGCTGGAGCTCAAGACTTGGTTATTTTCTTTTTCTTTTATTTATTTCTTTTTGTTGTTGTTGTTTAAATGAATCCAGCATCCCTTTGGAGAACAGAAGATGGCACTCTTCCTTTTATCTTGTGAGATTTTCCACTTGAATGTTTAATTCTTCCTGTTAAGATTCGGAGCAGCACCCTGTTGGTGAGTTGATTGTTTCTTTGTGGTTAATGACTACTTTTTCACATATCAAAAGACAGGGACACATTCCATGAAGTGTAATATTGAATGTGAGGCACCAACTGTCATTGGCAATTTCATAGTAAAGAGCTGTTAAAGTTTGGCGAGGTCTCTTACAGTTTACTCGCCCATGTGAGCAACTCGTTTCCTGAATGATTTTCTCCTCATTTTGTTTTATAGATACAGGGAGTAGAAAGCATCTAAATATATGAGATCACTTGGAAAAGATTTGCTATTACCACTTCCACACGCTCAGAAACTGGTGGCTGATTAAATGAGCATATAGTGATACAATGTGTGACCTTTTAGCCTATTCTAAGTCTCAGATTAAATTTCTTTTTGAATCTTAAATCTTGTTTTATTTTCTTGTATTTGGTATCTAATCTAGGCTAGTTAATGTTAGTAAGGTTGAGATTGCCTCATAGATGGCTATAAAATCGATTTGATTGCTCTACGTTGTATTTACATTTTTTTCCCAAGGGCATGGAAGCAGTTACACATATTCAAGTATTTTCTAAATAATGTTATCTTGTTAGAATTAATATATTCTATTTCTTTTTTGAAGGTCATCTCTTCATTATGCATATAAAACAGGCCCAGATTTTCCTACTGGTACCTACGTTTTAGGCTTCATCGTCATATAATTTGCTTCATTTTTTTAAATATTTTAAGCTCTGAATTGAATAGGAATTGTAAACATCACTGTGTCTTGTTAGTAAGATAAATTATTCGGATATGTATGTGCTAGGAAGTTGGTTACTTAAATTGGGATAATTAGATTTGATTCTATTTTTACCATTCTGCCTGACATCAGTGCAGAGTTTAAATCCTGGTTCTGCTCAACACTTTAAATGATATGGCCTCTATGTGTGTTTGGAGCAATTCTACCTATCATATCCCAGGTTATGTTTGTGCTATTTTTAATTAGACCTCTCATTTTTGTTAGCTAAACAATTCAAGACAAGTCTTGCACATTTGCAAAAGTGCTATCTGTTAAGAAAAAAAACCAAAATTCACAATAAAAATAAAAAAGCATTTGGTCCTTGATAAAAACTAGATAAAAATCAATGGGAATTTTTTTTTTTTTTTTTTTTTTCTGAGTGGTGGAATACTGTGTTAGGAAGAAATATAAAAAGATAATACCTTTGAGTATAAGCCTAAAAACTCATGGCTGATAAGACATAGGAAAGGAGAAACAAAGCATCATTCTAATCATGACCAGAGAGAGTTGCTTGGATGTCATGATAATCATCTGTCTCCTTTCCCCACTTCCTACATTGATAAACTATAGAAAAAGGAGTTCACAGAAATCAATTATTAAGATGACCTATTACAGAATCTAGTCCTGGAGAATTAAAAAAGTATAACTGAGTCTTTAAATTAAGAATTTGAGAGCTTTGGAGTCCAAGTATCACTTGGTGATTTTTCATTATATTGGCCTCTATGTAGAATGAGCATGGATTTTCTCCAGTTAGAAGGCCTGTAATTTGTTTTGCAGGGACTTTGAAATCAGTAGGTTTAGGCTGTATAGCTGCTAGTCTAGGTATATTTTGCATGGTTTTACAGCTGAAGCACTCAGAAATAAAGTCATAGAGCCAAAGAGAGCTTTCTAATGCGAACTTTGATGCTCTATAGCAGAGGTCAGCAAACTATTTTTTAAAGGTCCTATAGTTAATAGTTTGATATTTCTGGGCCAAGAGACAAAAAAGAGGATATTATGTAGGTACTTTTGTAACTATTTACAAGTAACCATTTAAACATATAAACAATTCTTAGTAGGCTATACAAAAATAGGCAATAGGCCTGGTTTGGCTTGCAGGCCACAGTTTGCTCAATCTCTGCAGCATTCAAAAACTGTATTCTGTGTCTATATTTTGTTTTAAGAATTCAGGCTAAGATCCAAATGTTTGTTTGGTCAGAAATACAGCAACACTAGTATTCTTAGAACTTGGATGTTTGTTTGAATTATATGAAGAACTGTAGCTGATTAGACAGATTAAAATTTTGGTTTGGTTGATTTGCTTGCACTAATAAAGACACTTTTACATCTGGCAAACATAAAGGCAGGTCCTCAACAATCAAGTGGCATTTATTTAAACTATTATGGAAATGTCAAAAGTCCTGCTGGAGACAAGGAATCCTTACAGCAGGTAGTTCCTGATGTTTTATAATTCTGTGCTTAGGAAAGACCTAATCTAGTTTAAAAAGTTAAATAAATCAGTCAGGAAAATATAAAATTCTATGAAAAGGAAAAATATAAAAGTATAGTTTGATGATAAATTTTGTCTTGCAATTGCAGAGGCTCTTTAACGATTCCCTAGTTAGTACTAAGCCTTTGAGAATTGCTTTCCTTGTAATTTGCAGGGAAACATCCAGCAGATGGGCTGAAGGCCTTGTGTAGCTACTGAAAGACTTGCTAGCCCAAAAGGAAATCAGGTCATCCAATCAGATGAACCCATTCTCTTGAGGTTCTGCACAATTGCTTCTCTGGATGGCAGTTAATCATCAGGCCATACGGGTGTTTTTAACATCTGGCTAACTTCCAGGAAGAATTCAATAAGTTTGGTCTAGTACGGTTGGAACATATCTTCCATTGTTTATATATCTCATAATTCGTAGAAAAATATCCTTTCATATTGGGAAAAAAGGTTTAGAATCAACAGGGTTTCATTTGCCCTACAGAGTTCCCCTGGCTATGAGCTGTGGCCCACCTTAGGTTTGTCTCCGATAGGAGATGACGTTGCTGTCTTGATGTCACGAACAATGGTTCATGACATCAAGATATTTCTCCATTTTTTGTCCTATGCATGCTTCTCTATGAATTCAGTACATGTTTAGTATTTTCATTTAGATGATATGTAATTAGTGTTTTTAGTTACTTTCAAATTTCACTTATGTAATAGAAAAGATACAAAGTGTAGTTAGGAATGTATTTTCAACAAAGAAGGTGAACTCAGAATTTTTCTAGTTCATAGACAATAGTAATTTTAAAAAGTAAAGAAAAAGTTCTTATTATAATTAATTGGCACTTACTGAATTGACACTAAATCTGTCTCAGCCATATTATTTTGATTTAAATGTATATTTTCATTAGAACTTCTCTATACATTATTTTGATATAACTGTGAGGTAATGATATAAGGTTAACATCTTTGAAATTATTATCTCCACAAATATACAATTTACTTAAAGAACCTATAAAGGTTTCCCCAATAATTGCCAACTAATAAGCTTCCAATATTTTGTAACAAAATATTCCTTAGATTAACCATCATATTGCATTAATTCTAAGAGGCACGTCTTCTTATTTTCACTCTTTAGCATATTTGGAATCTGGGTGCATCCTGTAAGTGATAATAATAACATGATAGTATGTTATATACAACTGGCAGATTTTAAATGATGGTATATCTTAAAATCGGGAGCTGATTTAGATGACAGTGCATCTTAAAATTGATGGTGTCTTAGATTCAGTAAAATAAGCTATTTCTGGAAATATCCCAGGAAAGAACAAGCAAAGAGAAAAAAAGCACATAAAAGAATAGAAACAATAGTCATTTGGGGATATAGAGCTCAATTAAACAACAATCTGAAGTTAAATTTATTCTTAAAATGGGTGTTCATTGGTGGTCTATTTTATGCATTAAGCTAGAAAAGTAAGGATTATGAAAAAGTTATATGACACTACCTTGAATTCTAAGAAATTAGAATATACTTTGAGAGTCAAGACAAAGAAATATGAGGTAGTGAAACATTGTCTAGACACTTTTAACAAATATTAAAAGCCCTTTAACAAATATTAAAAGGGTAATGTTTATCTGTATATCTGTGTATGTATATATGCATATATATATAATGCTAATGATAGAATACATGTATTTCAGCATTTATACCTGTTTTTGTGTATATATAAACACTATTTTGGGCTAAATTAGTTGAACTGTTTGGAATCATCATCATGGCTGGGCGCAGTGGCTCACACCTGTAATCCCAGCATTTTGGGAGGCCAGGAGATCAAGACCAGGTTCGGCAACACAGGAAACCCTGACTCTACCAAAAAAAAAAAAAAAAAAAAAATCATCATTATTATCATCTTTACAACTATCACTGATTGCTTACTGTAAACTGTACCAGGAACAGTATAATATAAAATGTGAATTATCGATAATCCTAAGGAAAGGCTAGAAATTATCCAGATTATAAGGGTTAGGACAAAAGGGTATTTCAAGTGGGGAAAACGGCATCAAGAAAAATTTTAAGTCGGTTACGGGAGTAAACAATTACAGTGGCAGTAAGATATAATTTTATAAACTTCAAGACTAGTGCTGGAGATGAAGTTGGCTAAAGGGCTAGGACCAGATGGTAAGAAAAACTGCATGCCAGAGTAAACAAGGCCCTGAGAAGCTATCAAGGGCATTTGAGTAAAAGAAGGACATCTTGATCTTGAAGACTTCTCTTTCCTCTACTGTTTCCTTTAGCTATCATTCTGTTTCTTTGTTCACTATCAGTCTTTAAAAAAAGTCTATTCACTCCGTAACTTCTGTCTTATCACCGTTTCCTTAACTCTTTATGCCTTACAACATGACTTTTTGAAAATTTCCATTCTGCTGTACCTGATCTCTCAGGTCCAATTGTGTCTTTTCTCAGGCTTCATCTTGCTCTAGGAAGTGCATGGTACCATCAGTTAGTTCTGCCTCATGGACTGGTCTCTTTGTGGATCCTGTGGCCATGCTGTCTCTCAGTTCATGTTCTATCTTTATGTTTATTCTTTTAAAATCTCTCGCTTTATTATTTTTTCTCATTCCTTTGATGTAGATTTTTCTGAGGTGAATTTTAAAATCTTCTCCCCTTTGATCTCACCTTCACACAATGATTTTGACTTAAATCACAAGAGTCCCCAGTTTATCTCTAGACCTGACTTTTTATCCAAGTATTAGTCTTGTATTGATACATGCCTTCATGGACATCAATTTATATAGTTCTTAAGATCAACATGTACAAAACCAAACTGTTTAACTTCTTTACATATCTGAGAACTGACACCCAAACCAGTTTCTTCTGATCT